GTGGATGGGGTTAGTTAAGAAAGCCTTCCTGAGGAGGCATGGTGAGCTCTAACTCAAAAGTACTCAAGTCTTGAGCTTAGCAATTTTTCTTTTCACTCCGAATTGTCAGTAAAAAAATACCCTTTTAGAGAAATTGATGTAATTTCAGTGGCACACACTTGTAATTTCAGAACTCAAAGGCTGAGGCAGGACTGCTACGAATTTAAGATAAAAAACAAAACAAAAATTTATTCACTTGTGTTCCTTTTTTAACCACACCATCCAGTGTTTGCTTTCCCCACTGAATCATGCAGTCAGGCTTTTGCAGATTGCTTCCTCAGCACTAGGTTTGTGTAGTGAGTTTGACAGACTTCATAGTGCAGTAGAAAAGGGCATTGCTGCTTGAACCATTCTGACCTGTGCCTCTGGGTCTGTACCCTCAGGCTTGCTGGATGCGAAGAGTTGAAACAGGCTCAAAGTCCTTGACTTTAAACATTTCCTATTTAGGAAAAGAATGAATTTCTTGTGACATTTCTTTTTTTAAAAAAATTCAGGGTCTTATTACATAGATCAGGCTATCCTTGAACTCAAAAGAGATCTGCTTGCTGCTACCTCCTCTGAGCTGGGACTAAAGGCATGTGCTATCATGACTAGTGTGATGTCTCTTTAAATTTGGGCTGATTCTTGATCAGAGGTTTTTGTATAATTTTTTAGGACCATTCATTTATTCAGAGGCAGAGTTTGGCACTAGGAACATAGTTGAGTACTAGGAATAAAGCCAATTAGGTTCTGAGCATCCAGCATGTAGCTGAACAAAGAGGGTTCCTTGAAGAGTACACTGAGCCTGCCAGTAGAGCTCACATCCTTTGTGGAGTTGGAATAGAGTCTGATGGGAGTTTGTGAATAGCTAACCCAGGATTGTAATTCTGTTCCGAAGCCACAGGCTGCAGGAAGCAAACTCTTTGGTATTTGTGAATGCTTGTCTAGGGTCGAATTCAGAACCTGCAGTGGCTCTTATCACTGAACTTTGTTCTCCATAGGTACCCCTTCTACATGCTTTCCTGCATTGATATGGACTGGAAGGTGCTCACGTGGCTCCGTTACACTGTGTGGATTCCCTTATACCCGCTGGGATGCTTGTCAGAAGGTATTTTTAGAACCTTTGGTCTTATAGTGTAGCTCCCAGCGGTGCCCACAGGATTAAAAGGCTGGTTTTCTGCTTCTGCCAGCCCTGGCCTACTCAGGGTGATGTTAAGACTGTGCAGGGAAATGTCTTTCTGATGTCTTCCACTTTTTGCACTGTTCCAAGACAAGGTTTGGAAGCAGGGTACTCATGTGCTACCTGCTCTTTATTCACACGATATTCTGAGTACTCCAATGTGAGATCTTACTAGTAACTTCATTTTATCCTGACAACCTCCTAATAAGTGGATCTGGCAGGATCATCCCCCCCCCCCCCACATACACACACACACACACACACACACACACACACTATCGGTGAGGAAAAAGTCCAGTGCTAGGCCCCTTCTCATGAGTTTCTATTGGCAGCTTTGGGGCAATGAGAGAGAGGTCAAGAGAAGAGGAAACATGTCCTGAAGCCTCAGGCTGGCTGAGCTGCTGGAGGCCGTTGCTTCATGCACCTGTTGTTCTGTCTTTTTCCAGCTGTAGCAGTGATCCAGTCCATTCCAGTATTCAACGAATCAGGAAGGTTCAGTTTTACTTTGCCATCTCCAGTGAAGATGAAAGTCAGATTTTCCTTCTTCCTTCAGGTTTATCTTGTAATGTTGTTCTTAGGTAAGTAGTGACTATGTAAACACATTTCTGTCTTGTTTTAGACAGGAGAGCCAAGCAGTTCAGTTTTCAGCATCCTTGTTAAAATTCTACTTGAAAAAGTGGTGGGGGGAAAGGGTTTTTCTTTTTGTTTTTTTTTTTTTTTTTAAACCAGGCTGGCCTTGAATTCACAGAGATCCGCCTGCCTCTACCTCCCACGTCCTGGGATTAGAGGCGTGTGCCACACAGGCGATAGGGGAAGGTTTTCTTTGTGAAAAAAAACTGGGTAGGAGAGGATGCCGCATGTGGAGATCTTTTCTCTCAGGTCAACAGTAGCTGAACTGTGACTGTTCTTGGCCACTGGGAGTCTGTCCTAGATATGGATAGCAGGGAAATAGTCTTGATGGGTGGCCAAGGAACTCTTCTAGAGCAATAGGAGACCAAAACTATACTGCCTATATTATGACCTCCTTGGAGGCTAGCAGGGCTGCTTAAGCACAGGAATTTGAGACAAGTTTCAATAAAATATTGAAATAGAGCCCCTGTCACACTTACTTGAGTAGCGCATTAATTCCTCATCCACACATTAAGAGGTGGAAATATAAGTCGGGCAGTAGTGGCAGAGGTGAGAAGATCTCTGAGTTTGAGGCTGTGAGTGAAATCCAAAATTCATAATTTCAGGTCTTAACCAGGTAGTGTATGTTCATAGGTCAAGGAATTTTTTATACCCCATTCTTTCACAGTAAGACTGTGAAGTGTTTTTATCCCTGTTATACAAATGAGGAAACTGAAGTAAGGCTAAGCTGCAGAACTTACGCACTGGTAAAGCAGAACTAAAACTTGACTCTGAAACCATTTCCTCACTTCCAGACTGCTGCTTACTAAACGTGTTCTTAAACAGCCTTGCAGTTTTTGGTTTGGGCATTTATGAACTACATAAGGGGAAAAACAGGCAAAAAAAAAAAAAAAAAAAAAAAAAATCTTGAACTTAATTATTTATGGAGGGATAAACTGTGTTGATGAGCATACCAATATTAAAGTGCCTCAAAAAACGATAGCCAGCCAGCTGAATAGATTATAGGTATGATACAAAGCCCAGAAGTTGTTTACTGTACGGGATTTATTCTGGTCTAAACCTGAATGGCAGAGCATGAGGAATGATGCTGTAAATGCCAGAGGAAGGGTTGGGACACCCAGTAGTGGGCTCTTAAGATGTATCTGAGCAATACATTTAGTGCTGTGAGGCAGGGAACAAACTACGGATACCTCCACTTCTAGTTACAATGACATTTCTAATCAGTGTTTTTTTTTTTTTTCTTTTTGCAGGGTTATATATTAATTTTCGTCACCTTTATAAACAGCGCAGGCGACGATATGGACAAAAAAAGAAAAAGCTCCACTAAAGAGAAATTTGGTAGCTTCATGCTGGTTTGAGCTCAATCTATGATTCTTACTGTTTTACCTTCTTGTACTGATGTAAAAGTTATTATTATTATTATTATTTTTTAAAGTAAGGCTATCTGCTTTCCCCAGTAACATTCCTGAATTTGCTGTATTCTATCTTAGTGTTGTACTTGCATGACATGAATTTCTGGTATCTGACAACAGTTTATTCCTGTGTATTTAATGACAGTGAGCTGGCCCCACCTTCTCCTGTCAGCCCCCTCTTCCCTACAGGTACTGTCCATCTTTGCAGTTAGGACTTGGTCTTTCTGCTATTGCTTGTGAAAAACAAACAAACAAACAAAAAAACAAGACTACATTTCTCCATTGAAGATGTCAAAGGTGACCCAGGCAGGACCTAATATTTATCATACCCAAGGGGTTATTCAAGTAGGGGGTAGAACTGACTTTTTGAAAATCAGGTAAACTTGATCAATGATTAAACATTTTTGAGTTAGAGGAGGGCTGGAGAACACTTTGTATTTGATGTCTTTTGGCCTAAAGACATTCATTATGACAGCACTTACCAACATGGGCATTGAAGAGGCAGAGTGATTTAAAGAAAGAATCAGAACCTGGGAACACCATGAATACTTCACTCCTACTATAAATCAGAACTGTCTGCAACACTGGAGAAAGAGGGAGCATTACTTGCAAAAACACTGACATTTTAAGTTCCAAATGTGAATGAATGGCTGCAGGGTCAGAAAGGGACATAACTTTGGGAGCTAGACAGGAACCAGCTGTTATAATGGAGCCTGTGGCAAATGCAAACAGACACACCTACAAGCTGTCTTGGTCTGTATACACAGTCTACAACTCTTGGACTAGCTCAGTCCATTTACTTATGTATTTCTCTGAGTGATTGGTGACACTACTTTTTTGAACTTCAAATTCCTGTGTTTTTTTTGTTTTTGTTTTTTTAAAACCTGTGTGCAGTAGGAACTTGAGCTAGGAAATCACCTGGATTCCTGCAGGAAACCCCACAAAAGGGGAACTGAACAAAATCTAGACCTTAGGGTTGGCCACTGTATAAGACATTGTCAGTCTCTCTACATTCCATGTAAACTAAGTGACGAGGTAACCCTAGTCACAAGAGCTTAAGGGGTAGCAATGGCTAGATCTGCCACTCCCTATGTTCTTGGGGAAAGGAGACTTGTGTTGTCTCAATAAGCACAAAGTGGATTGGCATTAAACTGGCTTGTTTGACAAACCTCATCTCACTGAAGAGTATTTTCCAGGTCTGCAGCTCTGTCAACGTTTGTTGGTATTGCTTTCTGGCATTCCTTCCACTGACTGTGGGAGTGACCAGGCAGGTCAGATTTGCAGTCAACTGTGCCGCATCTTTGTGCAAAATCCCATGTTCTAGTTGCTGTTAGCATCCCCTTTGTTGCTATCTGAGAAAGTGAAAGATTGTGTATTTCTATTAAAACATTTACAGTCAAAATCCTAATAATTTGTGCTTAAAGATTATTTAATCTAATGGTTTTCAAATGAATAAAGTCTTTGTGTGGGCAAAGTATTGCATAGTACTTCAGCATGCTAAAAAAGTGGCGTTTGTGGTTGAAGCCCAAGGTAGTGCTGAAGGCAGTCACAAAGCAGCTGGGTGAGTACTGCAGAGACAGTGCTCTCTCAGAACCACTGGCCAGAACCAGGCTGAGGTGCAAATCCTGATTATTGACAGGAACTAGGAAGTTAATATGGAACCCAAGAAATGTCAAGACTTGGGAATCTTGACATTTTGGAAGCTGAATTATATTCAAGGGATAAGATAGAGCAAAACAACGTATTTCTGAATGAAATAATTTTATAGAAAATCATTTAATTTTCATTTAAAAACATGAACAGGAGTGATTTTACACAGATGTAGTTACCATCTAAAAATTTGTACCTTGAGATACAGCAGAAGCACCTAAGCATTGCCACTGTATTTTAACAAGTTCTAAGAAAACAATTTGGAACTCAGTGGCATCAGGTTTGTACTTAGGCAAGTTCTAGATGCCTGGATTGCTCATCCTAAGCACAATAGTTTAATAATGTCCTTATTTATAATTGACGTAAACCTGTAAAAAAAGCTGCTTTCTGGACGCGGGAAGGCCCTTGTGGGCAGGCTTCCTGAGGGTGGCAGCGGAGCTCTGTCTTCATCTGTCCAAGCTTCTCAGGAGCTGTACTCAACATGGAACAAAAGCTGTTTCTGGACTTAATGACTGAGCCCCCACACAGCTAATGTTAAAACCCCAGATGACCACTCTTCATATTTTTCTCAGACTGCAGTAGACACATTCAAATGGCAATGCTGTTTCTGAGACAGCTCAAGGTCCTTGGGTGGCTATTTGGAGCTGAATGAGTGGGAAAGGTTTTAACACTAAACCATTTTCAGACAAAATGAACAGAGAAGGAAAGCTCCAGAGGTCAGTGTCACATTCGTTCAGTGCTGCTCCCTGAGAAGTCTGTATGCAGGGGTGTGATGTTGTGGTCATATGCAGCATACTCAGAGGTGCCAGTGCTGGCCAGCTTGAGCTGCTGGGCAGCATGGGTAAGCTGGAATGCGGCATCTGGGTGAGCCGTGTCAGGTAGCAGGGTGCACTCCCTCTCCAGCATGTCTGCCACTCCTTTAAGCAGGTCCAGGAAACCAAAGGCTAAGGCAGCTTTTCGTAACCTGTTCAGCTCCTGAAACAGATGGACAGTTTTCTTCACACAATTCCCAAGCACTCTGCTTAAAGTCACTTCTTTTTGACCCTCAACATGGGAAGAAGCACTTCTTTACACAAGAACCAGGGACAACAGTGTGATGTATAACTGACAAGAGGTGTCTGCAGTGTGCTCAGCAGTTAGAGTAGTCAGCAAGCTGATCACAGTTAATGCTCAGTTATGTCAATCAGAGAAAGCACCTTGCATACAGCATTCATACCGATTCTGGGGACTAGTTTCAGTCTGTTAATCAGGCATGGAAAAGGCTTGTTCCAAGACTCAGGCTCAAAGCCTGGTATCTCTCTGATGTGGACTTGGAGTGTGAGTGACAGCGAATACATTTGCAGGGGACAGACCAGAGAAATACAAAGTGCCTCATTAACCAGTAGGACATGTTGTAGGCAAGCTGGATAGCTGTGGTCTCAGAGGCCTTGTTCATGCAGGGAGGAGACCCCCTTCCTCATCTACTTGAGGAACTGAAGCAGCCAATTGCCAGGAACCCTTTCTATGTCTCAGACATGTACCGGTTATACTGTATCTGGGAAGACGAATGACTACCTCAATATGCTAGCATGCCATCTTGAACAGAATACCAGTCATCATGTATACAAACTTAGAAATGGGCTGCAGCTGTAGAGAGGTCAAGGGCCTACATGGATTACAGTTTTGGGGGGTCTTAAAAGCTTTCTGGTTGAATTCTGATTAAAACTATTTTATCCAATGTCCACAGTTGCTAGTAAGTAGGTTTAAAGACAATAGCAATACAGGCAGTAAGATGATACCCAGACCAGGTAGGGTTGTTCTCCAGAAGAGATGCTCATCTGAGGGTACATGTTTTGGCTACATGTCTGGTGCACTCAGAGGGTGTCAAATCCTCTGGATCCAGAGTTACAGATGGCAATGAGCCACTGGGAGTTGAACCTTGGTCCTTTAGAATAGAAAGTGCTGTTTAACTTCTGAACTATCTCTCCAGCTCTTATATACTTTATTTTAAAATTAACAGGCTAGGGTCCATCTCACACTGCACTTAATCTAATTCAGCCTAGCTCCAAAAGGACAAGGGGTATGTGAGTGAGTCTGACCAGAGCTCTCTGAGTAACAGGCCAGCCTGATCTACATAGCAAGCTATCTAGAGACCCTGTGAGTCTAAATGTCCTCACTCTATCACATTCCTTGTCACTTTAGTCCCTTCTGCAGTGTGGTTCTGGATTAGCTAGGAATGATTATAAAGCACATCCACTTCCTAATACTATGTTGGTTGGTCATTCCTTGGAGGTGTCTGTTGAGCAGTACGAATGTTCTGGGAAAGTTCCTAAGAGTCACATGCAGTGCTTGCCTGGGTTAACCCAGGTCTCTTCAAGCTGCTTGCCTGAGCCACTCACAGCAGCCTCCTACTGCACAGGGCTGGGTCATTTAAGCACTTCAACTGGACTGTGAGAGAGGAACAGATCAGCCACTCTTGATTTCACTGATGGGAAAACAGATGCAGTAGTACCTCACTGAAATTTCGTGGTGCACATTAATACTTCTACCCCCAAAGTATACCACTAATCATTGATGATGGCATATCCCCTCAGTACACCTTTTATTACTAATAGTTCTGCCAGTCTCACCTTATAGAATGTCTGTGTTTTTTCAGGGAGCTTCCTTGCATTTCTTAAGATCTTCTGTACATCTGTCTATGAGGCATAAAAATAATTCAACATTAGAATTCTGTGGCTTTGAAAAACAAATCACCCCAGTAGCTTTAAGTGTTTAGAGGCATGGAAATAAGAATAGACTTAGTGTCAACATAAATGAATATTCCTTCTGAGATGATGTTAGTAGTCTGTTCAACAGTGGCAAAAACATCTTCCTCCTTTAAAAGGCTTGATGGTATTAACTCAATTCTCATAGAAATAGACCCAGTACACCCACATATCTGTGGTTAGATCATTGGTGGGAAATAATAACTGCTGTTGAGATAACTGAATGAGGGCTGGAGAGATGGCTCAGCTGTTAAAGGCTAGGCCATACATACATACATATATACATATATATATGAGATAACTAAGTGAGTGCACAGAGAGAGAGAGAGAGAGAGAGAGAGAGAGAGAGAGAGAGAGAGAGAGAGAGAGACACTCAGCTCTAGATGGGGCTGAAGAGATGGCTCAGTGGTCAAAGCACATGGGTTGCTTGTCTAGAACTCAGGGCTAAAATAAAGCAATTCAGTCAAAGTTCTGAGCCTCCTGACCAGGAGGAAGTGCTTGCTGGGGTCAGAGATAGAGAAGGAAGGATCGAAGGATCTCAGGGAAGAGGCCACAGCCCTCTTACTCAAGGCAGCATTTCTTTGGAAGATCTCAAGGAGCCAACACAGTCAACAGAAGACTCTTCTCAGTGAACCCAGGTTAGAGTAACTTTTACAAGTAAAAAAGGTACCCAAAGGAAAGGGGTTTCCCAAGTGATGTTATGAATAGAAATAAGTCACTGTGTCTGTGGGAAGAGAAAGCCCTGAGTGCCTTGCCTGAATGCAGCATTCCTAGATAGTCATTATAACTCCCTAGGGAACTGATTTGTGAATTATAATGTAATATGGCTGGAGTCACCTGGGAGGGCACAACCATTAGGGGAACTGAGGGACCCTGGCCTTTCTCTGGTCTGTTTTGCCTCTTGGCCAAAAGATAAACAATTTTGCTCCTTCATCAATTTCTGCCATGATAATGCCCCAAACTCTGGAGACTCCCAAACCATGAGCCCAAACAAACCTTTTTTGTTTATAAACTGAACACACACACTCATGGTTTGGGTTTTACTGTAGGGATAAAAGAAATAACCAGAAGATGTAGGCCTTTTTGAACACTGTGGTAGGGAACTTTCTGCTAGGGAACTTTCCCCTGAGAAGCCCCACCCACACTTGGGTCTATCTGATATTTTGTAACTTTTAGAGAAGCCCACACTCATGCTCTTAGGCCTGTATTTCCTTTATGCATACACACCCCTTTCTGTAACCCTCAAGCCTATACTAAAATTATTAAACCCTAACTCCGCTTCACTAAAAAAACAAACAAGCATAACAGCCAGGTAAAGGCCTTTAATCCCAGCAATCAGGAGGCAGAGGCTGGGAGATCTTTATTTTAGGCCAGCTTAGTTTACAGAGCTAGTTCTTGGACAGCTAAGGCTACAAGGAGTAAGACCCTGTCTCACCCTGCACCCCAAGGAAAGAACCCACTGCCTTAGAATGTGAAGACTTTTAAACTAAATCCAAATGCTGGCCCATGAGCCCCCACCCCTAACTATTAGATCTACTAGCAGTTGATCCCCATTTGGTGAGGGAGAATTAGTTTTCTTAAGGGACATGGCCCCAGTAAGTTAGTCATGTTTGGCTACATAGCTCTGCATCCATGTGTGATGTGGGCAGCACCAATTGGATTTGGTAGGTTATATTTTTAAGATAAAAAAAAAAAAAAAGAATTTATAAAGGAGATATGTTGGGGGAGGGCCTGGGAGGAGTTGGAAAGGAAAGGGGTGGGAGTGATCAAAATACATTGTACTGATATTCAAAATTCTCAAAAAATATTTTTAAAAATCCAGTGCTGACAAATGAGGTGTGATGGCTTGTGTCTGTAATCCCAGCATTTAGGAAGTGATGCAGGAGGATTAGCTGTTCAAGGCCAGCCTGGACTGTATGAAACTGTTGCAAAAATACAAAATACAATATAAATAAAAGTAAAATCCAGTGCTGGGAAAATATGCTTCTCTGGAAATGTTGCCATGCTTCCTGTTATTAGACAAGAAAATCCACTTAAGCCATTTGCCACTTTTTTGACCACAGTAGCAGGAAGTTCAGAACCAAAGTCCTCAAATGCAATTACCATTTTGCCTTTGGTTCCAGGCACAACTGTTTCCATTCTTTCTCTGGTTTTGTTATTGCTCTCAACTTGGTAAAGAATGATTTTGTTATATATGTGTCTCACTGTAGGCCATCTAATATCCTTTTGGGAAATAAGGGCAGACATTAGAGGTAAATTAATTACATAGTATCAAAGGAGAGAAAAATCAAACTTCTGCTGCCCCCAGCAGAAAGCAGTGTGAACACTCATTACCTGCAGGCCACTGGGTTTGATCCAGACAGTCACATTCTGGGCATAACTGCGTTTGTTTTTGGGCTGCAGGGGGAATGGGCTCTTGTTGTCATCCTCCCCATAAGGGTTTTCTTTAGCATCTTAAAGAAAAAGACAATTCTGAAAACGACACCTGGCAAACACAATTACATTTCCATTTAGGCAATTAGCTTTTTGAATCACTCCATCATTATTCAAGAAATTACATTAACTTCAGTCACGTTGGGGAACCTGTTCTCAATAGGCAAGTCACTGAACTAGGAGATAGATAATCAGTGGGGGCCCGGCTAAGTGAAAACCAGCTTAATGTCCTTAAAGAAATTAGCTTCACATTCGTTTTACACATAAAAGCCAAGAAGGCAACACAAGCACACACACTGGGAAAATTCATGCAGTTCTATATTTTAGCCAAGAATGCTTTACCCAAACATTCTATGGTTCAGAAACATCTATATCTGTGCTAACATCACAGCAACCAGCCCCTGAACACCTGACTCAGAACTCAAAAAAAAAAATTTTTTTTTTGAGGCAGGGTTTCTCTGTGTAGCCCTGGCTGTCCTGAAACTCACAGAGACCCACCTGCCTCTGCCTCCTGAGTGCTGGGACTAAAGGCATGCACCACCACCGTCAGGCTAGAACTCAATTTTATATGTTCTTTAATTTTAAATTTAAGTAGTCTCGTGTGGCTAGTGGCTATAGAGTCACACAACATATAGTTGAGGCAGGGAAAAAAAATGCTCGAGTCATATAGTGCAAGACCTTGTTTCAAAACACTAACACACACACACAGACATTTTTGACAGCCAAATTCCTTAAAGCCACTGCAGTTCTGTAGTATACAGATCAAAGGGATTTGAGTATTTGGTCCTGCTTCCTGAGGCAATGGAAATGCCACAAATCTACAAAACACACTTATACCTAGACGTTTCCTTTGCCTTTTTTAAAACCATGGTTTGTGCTGGACAGAGCAAGAAATCTTTCCTACCAGTTCTGGAAGCTTAAGTAAGTCTTTTGTCCAAATAATTTGAAAACTGAAATTAGGCCAATTTGTCAAACTGAGCCCAATCCCTTTCCCCCTCCAAGGCAAGGTTTCTCTGTGCAGCCCTGGCTGTCCTGAAACTTGCTCTGAAGACCAGGCTGGCCTCAAACTCAGAGATCTGCCTGTTTCTACCCTCACCCCTCACCAGTTCTAGGATTAAAGGTATGGGCTTCGATGCCCAGCTGAGCCCCAAATTCTTTTCTTTCTTTTTTTAAAAATTCTCTCATATATTACATCCCAATCACAGTTTCCCTTCCCTCTTCTCCCAGTTCCCCTCCATCCCCTGCCCCAACTCCCCTCTCTTCTAGATCTACTCCTCCCGTTTCTCTTCAGAAAAGAGCAGGCCTCCCAGGTATACCAACCAACATGGCATAACAAGTTGCAACAAGACTAGGCATCTCCCCATGTATTAAAGCTGGTTGAGGCAACTAAGTAGGAGGAAAGGGCCCCAAAAACGGGCAAAAAAGTCAGACAACCTCTGCTCCCACTGTGAGCCTCCAATTCTTTATTCCTGATTTGGTCATTAATCAAAATACCTTGCAGGTGAGGTGACTCACACCTGCTAACACAGCACTCTGTAGACTAAAGTAGGACTGCTGTGAACCTCAAAACCAACCAGCCAACTAACCAACACCTTAATACTGGACCACAGTACCTCCATCAACTCTCTTCTACTCTACCAAAAACACCACTCCAACTTTTCAGATGTATTTCCATTAATACTTATCAATATATAAACCCCTTTAAGTCAGGCCAAAGCCCCTTAGTCCTGTCCAACTCAACATCCTTATTTCCAACTCCTTGTCCTCATTCATGATCATTGCCTGCCTTGCACAGAATGCTCTCCTGCGCCCATTTATCATTTATTCATCACCCACAGCCAAGATCTCTGTATATAACACATACTGTGCTAGGAATTGGCAAGTACATGCTTACTGTGTATCATGTACTTTACACAGACTTTTCTGTTGAGGTCTGAAGGGAAATGTTCCCTGGGGAACCTTTTGGACAGGATGAAAAATAAAAAAGTCTGGGTTCTATGGGAATGGGACTTGAGGGTTACAGGCTAATTCTACCAGCTTCAACTCTACTTCCTGACCCTCAGTGCCAAAATGAACTCCAGCTGTCGTAGTTGCTTCATCATCATGGAGTGCATCCTCTAAAACCTAAGCCAGAACAAACCTCCCTTACACTGCTTCTGTCTGGTATTCTATCCGTGATGAAAACTACTACACTGCCTCAACAGCCTTCAAAGTAGGCCTTAATTGTCAGTTGTAACCATACCAATCCCAATCTGACATTATACAGAATAGCTGTTGCTAAAATTCTTTTCTTTGGGGAGCTGTAAACAATGCTTCATTCTGTCCTAAAGTTCCACATAACAGACCAAAGTTCAAATCCACCTAAATTCACCCTGGGTAACTAGTATGTTTACTGATCTTACAGAGTGTAGTGAAGAGGTTACTTATAGGAGCGTAGGAGTTCCCCTGCAGCAAAAGGCCAAACTAGTGTATGTTGGCTTTCACATAGCTACATAGATGAAGCCCCTCCTTTAATCCTTTCCTACTTACATACTCTAGCCCATCCCTGGAGGCCACATGCATAAAACTGGTGTGTGTGTGTGTGTGTTGGGGATCAGGGGGCAGATATTCAGATGAGAGTCCCATGACCTCTCTGCCCCTCATTTCATGAAGGAAGGTCATCAATCACAGTTGGGATGACCTTTTTTCAAGTGGACACAGCTGAACCCCATGAAGATGGTGGCAGTTTGGCTGGGAGAACAGTCCGGTACAACACTAGTTCAATAAATGCTAGGTTTCTTTAGTCCCACTAAAGAGGAGAAAAACCACACCAATACAAAACAACTGAGCTACAGCACCAGCCCTGGAGTGCAAATTTTATTTTTATCTCCTAACTGCTATCCCATTACTCCTCAGCTGTGGCTGCCCAGTATCTGCAGAATAGTCATTTCAGAGAAGGCTTATTAGGCTCTAACCATGGCAATCTCTAACCTACCATCTGCCTGTCCTGCTCTGCTCAGAGTGCTACAGTTTCTTCCCTTCCAACAGGTATTTAACAGCCCTTTCTTTATCTTCAAAACTCAGCCAGTGTGCTTCTGCCCTGTGAAGATTTCCTGAGTCACAAACAGATGATCTGATCACCTTGCTCTCCTGACTGACCTGACCTCATGCTGTCTGTTGAGTCCACTTCCCAACAGACTTTGAAAACTCCTGCTACCTTTTTACCCACATGGCACAGAACTGACAGATGTCTCTGACTTGGAAATGGAATCAACAGGGTCAAGGGTAAGTATACAGTTGGTAGGCTGAGGACAAAGGCTTCAAACAAAAGGAGCAGCAAAGTAGGGAGGAGGAACAGTGTAAGCAGTGAGAAGTAGGAGACAATAGTCTCTGTACATATACTGTGCTTGATGCTGACGACAGCCGAGAACTGGAAATAAAACATGCAAATGTGAGGGACACCAGTTGAGACTTAAGGGACAGATCTGGAGTCTGAACCCACTGTAGATGAAGAAAGAACCAAGAAAAGAGCACAAACAACAGGAGAAAAGAAAGAACATTTTGGAAACTGAGGCAAGAGGAAGACAAGGTGACAAGAAGTAGAAAAGCTGTCAGAAACAAGCCAGACAGAAATCAGCAACACCTCTGAAGTCAAAAGAAAAGCGTTTCCAGAAGGAAAAGGACTCCATGGCCTAAGAGTGACTGATTATACACAAACTATACACAAAGGAAAAGCATGGAGTTTTCCATTCAGAGCAACTAACGAAACTACTTGTCAATATAAATATATATAATATTCAATATAAATATAGACAAAAATACATTAGTCAATATAAATATTTGTTTTCTATGAGCTGAGAAAGTTGGATATGAGCCTCAAACACTTTGAGGCCCTTCATGTATGCACCCAGAATCAGAGAGCTCAGGCATGCTCCAACAACACTCAAAGACATTCAGAACAGCACAGAGACAACAAGTCAAATAAGTATATACACAGTTGGGTTATACCTGAAATGGGACCCAACTGTGCCATTTTCCCCAGCCATGGGAGAGGTTCTGGGCCTGGCTCAAAGAGAGACATCATGAGGTTTGATTTTTTCTTGCTGTCAGCTTGTGAGTAGAGCATTCCATGCCATTCAGGACTAGTTGGAGAGAAGATGGAAGAATGGAATGTCAAACATAGGTCTGTCAAGTTAACGAAGTCTGGGTTCTCCTTTCCTGGAGACACAGATTTAAGTTTTTAAGTCAGGCATATTTCTTAACAAAATCAAATCTTTTTTGTTTGCTTGTTTTTGGAGACAGGGTTTCTCTGTATTGCTTTGGAACCTGTCCTGGAACTCGCTCTGTAGACCACACTCGCCTTAAACTCACAGAGATCCACCTGCCTCTGCCTCCCGAGTGCTGGGATTAAAGGTGTGGGTCACCACTGCCTGGCACCAAAGCCAAATCTTAAACCCCAAACTACACATAGTATTTCCAATTCCCTGAGATACACATTAGTCTGACAAAACTGCAAGAAAAAACTTGCAAAGCACAGGCAGCTCCTGAAAGGGCCCTAGGTGATTCTTTTATTCAGGGTCAACAGTAGCTTGGGTTCTAATAAATAGATCAGGTAGCTATTAAGGGCACCTGTTGCACTTGCCAAGGACCAGGGTTTGGTTCTGAGCACCCATGTTTGGCAGCTCACAACCCCTTGTAACTCCAGTTCCAGGATTTGACCTTCATGGGCACCTACACTCACCTCTACACAAACACATGCACATGTACACAATTAAAAATAAAATAAACCTAAGAAAGAAAATATCTGTATTCTTCCTTTTGGAATTTTCACTCAAGCACAGATGGAGACATGCTTCCTGTGATTGATTTTAACCTTTAACCTTTTGTATCTCAATCCATGACCAAAAGGCTACCTCCTCTTTTCCAATAGGTGATACAGGAAGGGAAGCAGAAAGCTGTGCAGATTTCATGACTACAGAAAACATGAAAGCTAGTTCTTTCCTTACCGGGAAGTAATTCAACAGAGTGGCTGCACTAGTCCTGGATTAAGCATGAGGTTAGAGCTCTGGCTCTTCAGTTTTTGATCTTTGTGACCTTGGGCAATTTCCTCTGTCTCCTTGCCTCATGAAGTGTTGGGATGACATTAATTAACATACATGACATACTCAGGAGGAATGCCTGGCATATGGCAAATGTTCAATGTTAGCAGCATCTTTCTCCCCATTTAGTGCTATCTTCTCATTTATAGACGAGGAACCTGGGTCCTAAGGTATTAAATAAGTTACCAGAGTCCTATAATCAAAACATAGGCAAGCCAGAGAGGATTTAAAAATAGGAAAACTTGACAAGTATGGTTGGTATAGCTGTAGTTCCAGGACTTTGGAGGCTGAGGCAGATGGATCATGGATGTGAGACTAGCTTGGGCCATACAACAAAATCCTCTCTCAAAAAATACAGTAACTATATGAATTAAAAAATTAAGAGGAAAACAGAGAAAGCATATATCATAAAACCAATGTAATTACAAAGGTCATTCACACTTTTAGGGATGATAAAAGAGAAGGTAATAGAGGTAGGAGGGGTATGGCCACGAGAGGAAAAGGTGACCAGGATCTTCCATTTCTTTAATTAATGTCCGTGAAACATTCTACCTGCAGTTCCCTTTGGGTCAACCAAATACAAATGAAAACTTCCTACCCTAGTTGTACAATTGCCACCATTCCTTCTACTTTCAGGCTACCATGGAGCAGTACACAGAAGTTGGGTATTTTGCCAGCGATCTGATTGGCTGAATTTTCATCTTCATTGTCATCAGTGATGCCAGTACCCACCTCATCACCTTCTGTAAAACAGGTGAGTGAGAGATTAGCTACAAAACTCTAAACTCTTGACTGTTTCTTGTCTTGAAGGGAAGAACACATGGAGGTGTAAAAGGAATAACAAGTTAGAAAACCACACTTTTCCATAAATGTTCATATGAAACTTTTCAAATAATATATTAATTCCATGTATATGAAACCATACAGAACAGGCAACCTACCGAGAAAAGGGGTATTAGGATCCATGGTTAAGAGGGTCTCTTTGGTGGACGATAGGAAGGTTCAGAAATGTATAGTGATGATGGCTATGCAAACTCTGTAAATACTCTTTGAAAAGACACTACTTCGGCCAGGTGTGATGCCATACACCTCTAATCCCAGCACTTGGGAGGCAGAGACAGGCAAATCTGTAAATTTGGGGCCAGCCTGGTTTACAAAATAAGTTCTAGGACAGTCAGGGTTGTCACATAGAGAAATCCTGTCTTGAAAAACTAATCAAGGCATTACCTTAACTATATTTTTTCTTTAAAAAAAAAAAAAAAAACACACACACATGTACGTGCCCATGTGCATATGTGCACATCTGTGGAGGCCAGAGGGCAATCTCAAGTGTGATTTTCAGAAATGCATCCACTCTGAGCAGGTTTTTAATTTGCTTGGAGCTCACTAACCAGGCTACAAAGGCTGGCCAATGAGTCTCAGAGCGCCTCCTGTCTTGCTCCTTAGCTTGGAATTACAAGCTTTTGCCACCCCATCTGGATTTTTCTCTTTAAAACATTACTGATTTGTTTATTGAGACTGACCTTCCCCAGGGTAGCTGGCCTGCAAGTTTGTACCCACTCAGCTTTTTTACATAGGAAACTGAACTTAGATCTCCATGCTTGCAAAGCAAGTACTTTATCAACTATACTATAAAGCATTAACAGAACATATGATTCAGGAGGTAGAAATTGGACTTGCTACATATATTTCTTGAAGAGAACTGGTAAATATAAGATAGATGGTCAGCTTAGAACACAGAAAATGAACAATTTCAAAAAGTTTAAGGTTGGCGTATTTCAGAGGGATGCTGAATTTGGGGACACAACTTTATAGTTCTTAGTGAGGCATAATCTGCAATGAAGCCTCACAATGGGAGTCACAATGCATTCAATAACATTCGTATCATATTTCTAACATGGTTGGCAGTAGCAGAACAAAGCAGGTCTGTCCTTGTCCTTTCCCTTTCTTTCTCTGTTCCTATTAGGAAAACCTTGGATGGGGATCCCAGAGCTGTCACCTCTAAAAAGACCTTTCACCATGAGCCCACAAACCAGTGCACAATGTAATTTGTTAAAAGTTTCTAGTGTAAGGCAGCATGTTATCTAGTCTGGGATCTGAGGCAACACTAAAATCTAGTTCATTTCTTTTCCTTTAAATTGTGTAGTGGACCAGCTTATCAAGTAACACTGAAGAATGACTAGAGAACATGATGCTTCGTGTGAACCAAAGGCATGAGGGGAGAACTCACCTTTGTTAAGTGCTATAGGCAAGACCAAATGCCTGGACAAAACTGGGGGGCTTGAAATGTCAGCTATATCAATAAAGCCCACTATTTCCAAATCTATAAGAGAGGAATCAACACAGGATTATTCACAATAGGGCAACTACATTGTTGTTTATGTATTAGAGTCTATAAACATTGTTTTAAGGCAAAGATTTTAAACCTGGGAAAATTGTTAAGCTTTTCTGAGGATCATGAATAATTCCCAATTTAAGTAGCTCAAACAATAATGACTCTTTTACTTAATGAATTCAAGTTTAAAAAAAAAACCCGGTAAACTTTATTTTTATTAGTCTAGTACCTTAACCAGGGCAAAAGCTTAAAGGTCAAATTCCTCTGTTTAATCAAGGGTAGGACATGGGGTGGAAAATAAAGCCATCACTTTAAGAACATTTTGGGATGAGGAGATGGGCCTAGTGGTTATAAGTGCCTAAGCATGAAGACTCCAGTTGGAGTCTTCCCCAGCACTTCCATAAAACTAAAACTAAAACTAACAAACCCAGGGCATAACTGATGTGCCTTTAACTCCTGGATTGGGGGATGTTGCAGAGGGATCCTGGGAGACTGCTGGCCAGCCAGCAGAACCAATGAAATGAAAGCTTCTAGTTTAGTGAGACCCTGTCTCAAGGTATTAGGCAGGGAATGCTAGAGAAGATCCCCAATGTCTTTCTCTGGCCTCTGATACACCAGCATGGGTACATGTCCCTGCATACTTATGTGTATAAACCACACCCACACACAAAAGAACATTTCCTTGAGAAAAAAATCTATTCCATACAAAATCAACATGATAACAATTTCTTCCCTTAATAGTAGCTATACTACAGCCCCAAATTATTTCCTGAAAACCTAAAACAAATAAAAGTTCCTGGTGGTATGGGACTTTAACCCTAGTACCCAGGAAGCAGAGATTGGTGGATATCTGTGAGTTCAAAAGGTAGGTCTGGTTTACGTGGTGAGTTCTAGGCCAGTCAGAACTACTTAGTGATACCCTGTCTCAAAACTAAAATAAAAATAAATAAATAAAATTAACAGAATTTGTTTATTTTGTTTTTCAAGACAGGGTTTCATTGTGTAGCCCTAGCTGCCCTAGAACTCATGTTGTAGATCAAGCTGGTCTCAAACTCGGAGATCTGCCTGTTTCTGCCTCCCAGTGCTAGGATTAAAGACATGGGCCACCTACCACCACTAGCTAAACTGAATTTTTAATAAAATGTTTGATTATATAAGTAATTAACACAAAACTTTGAAAACACTAAAAAGTGTAAAGAAAATAGACTCTCACTATTCTTTATAGAAGAAAACCTCTAACAGTATTTGAGTTGTTTTAGAATTTTTCTTCTATGTTCAGTACAGCCATTTTAGCAAAACAATTTAAAAATATCAGAATCATGCCAAGTAATCACTCCTCTTCTAATACACGAGGCCTACTTCCCTGGAGACCTGCTGTCAGCACCTTCCTAGCTAGGCATCTTATAGCTGACAGCTTTCACTTGAATAGAAAAGGACACTTTAGTGATCTAGGTAGAAATTACACAAGTACCTTAAGAATAAAAGTTTATATTGGAAAAAAAAAACAAATATTCAAATAAAGGGCAGGAAGGAAGTAGAATTTAATTGGTTTGAAGGCAAGAAAACATTAGGTGTGGTTTAATATACTGTCACAATTAACCCACATGGGTATGTTAGGTCCAGACAGCCAAATGCTAAAGGCACAAAAGCAAAAAAGTCTGCTCAAAGGCTTTTATTCTGAAATTTCTATACCCTAAACAACAAACACTCATTTACTACACACTTATTTTTAATCCTTTATTGGCTGGGCAATTACCCATGGAACATTTAGTAAATATTAAACTATATTAGACCAGGTATCCACAAGACTGACAGTGGTAATCTCCATCCCTAAGAGCTTTGGCATGCACTCAACACTCAAGGAGTCCTCCAACCAATGGGAGACAATTCTCTTTCCTGCCTGCCACTTTTTACAATTCAAGGTTGTTAAATTCAGCTAAGCATGGCATCAACAAACATGTACTAATCAAAGCAGTAGGATGCAAAGGCTTTTTGTTTTAGTTGTAATGCTAATCTCATTATTTTTACTAAGAATCATCTCAGGTGGCTAAAATAGCTCAGTTGGGAGAACACTAGACCAAAGAAACACCTTATCATTTTAAGTCAATCTGGCCATTATTTGTAACTCTAGTAACATATAATTATAGGGACCAGAGATTGGAGATTAACTCAAGATCTCACCATAAAAGACAATAACCTGCCACCTCTTAGGTAAGATAAAGATCATAGGAAAATTAAGAAGGAAAGTTTCAAAAAAGTTACCTGTGTTAATGACTTTAGGGATAGGATCAATTTCTTCATCTATAACAAAAGGCTCTGGCCTGGGGAAGACTTGTACATCAGCTGTTAGGTGGCCACACTTGAGAACAGCATGGAAAGGTGTGTATGCCAGATCTATCAGCTTTCTAGAATGTTATAGGAACAGTGATATGACACATATACAAAAAAAATCTTTAAAGATTCAGGTTTTGTTATTCTTTCCCATTGATTGTAAGACCAAACCTGAGTATTTGTGACACAGAATACAAGCTGACATCTGTAATAAGATTTCAGTTCAGAGAAGGCCCAAACAATTTAAACTTTGAAACTGATGAGCCATTATAACAAAGTCAGTTTTGCAAGTATTATAGACTTAGTCATGCCTAACTGAAAAACTAGTGAACTTTTTACTACTTCTAATAATTTTATCTGAAAAACTGGCCCCTGAGGAAAATTAAATCACACAATCAGCAATAATAAAATAGATATTCTTCCTGGCTGTCATGCTACAGTCTGGATTAACTATAAAGGTGAAAAAACTTTACACGTACACTCACCCAAACATAGACTGTACATTTTTCAAACACAAGGGGCCATCAATAGTAAAAATTTGCCCTTCACCATTGTTTAAGTCTATGAGTCGTTCAAGGCATTCCAAGGAATCAGTGCTCTGAAGCTGCAAAGTAAAAGAGATGACCCCTTTAACATGGCACAAATTAACAACCACTCAGTACACCAAGGCTAACACTATCATGACACCAGCAGGAAATGACTAAGATGATTTCTGTAACAGAAAGTGACAAAGAAATAACTAAAATTTAACTCAAAGCTATAAAAGAATAAAGTAATAAAGAAATGATACCAGTAGCACCACTTCAGACAGGAGAATCATAAACCACCCCAAAGAAGCCTGGCTAGCCTTTCCATTAAGGTGTTTCTAACAGTTTGGCAAAAACCATTATCTATAGTTTTCCTTTTGAGACAGATTATGTAGACTATGTAGCCCTGGCTGACCTGGAATTTGCTATGAATACTGGGCTGGCTTCAAACTCAGAGATCCATTTGCCTCTCATTTATATTTTATAATAGAGAAAAAAAAATGGAGAAAAGTGAAATAGCTTTTTCAAATGGCAAAACTAGGGAGTCTAGCATTTAATAAAACACGTCTGAGATTAACATTATTTTACCCAGAAAATTAAAAGCACACACACTCTTTCAACATTTCTGCTGGAATGGATATGAGAATTCCTGGATAAAAGACATAATTAACAACCCCCAAAATCCCTGAATCTTCCCCAACCCACCAGCAAGAAGAAAGACAACCCCAACTCTGTTCCCAAGTTGGGTACCTCTGAATGTCAATGAGCATTTGACATGCAGTCTTTTCAAATTATGACCAGCCTCAGTTGAAACCAGTGGAGACAATGTTACAGTATATATATAGCATTCATCAAATATATCAACCAAGAGATCAAGTCCTAAAGTTTAATCAAACTAAAAAGAGCTGAGTAAAAAATATTACCTCCTCCAAGTTTGCCATGCACATGACATATAACTTAGATGGGAAAGGAAAGGGGAGTGGAAATCTGTTGCTCTCACTTCTTTGATTCTGAGTAGCTAGGGAATGTCGAAGTGAGCCTCTGCCAATGCCAAGACAGCCATCAGTCACCAGAACCACCTGTTTGTAAAGACAGGAGACGTGTACATTAAATATTATATTTATTATTTTCTTCCTTTTTCTTTAAGCAGCTCTACTATTGCTAGAAAGAAGCATGAGAAGGCTCTGTGGGGTGATAGAAACATTGTTTTATACATGAATAAATATCTTTTATTTTTTGAGAGGTTCAGATATATGAGTATTTTGATCATATCCACTCTCTCACTCTCCTCCATTTCTCTCCCGGCTAACCCCAAAACATTCAACTTTATTTTCTCTTTCTCTTCTGTGTTTTTTAAAGTCACCTGTTGAGTACAATTAGTGCTACCTTTATTCATGAGTGGGGGCCACCCCCTAGGGCATAGCAACCTTCAAGGGGCCACACCTCCAAGGAAAAGTTACTTTCCTTCACTCAGTAGTCACCAACTGACAGTATCTCCTCAGCCTCATGTACCCCTCCTTGATACACAATGGAATTTTTACTAGCTTGACCTTGTGCAGGTGACTATAGCCACTGTAAATTCATCAGTGGGATAGCAGGTCATGTCCAGAAAACAGCATTTCACAGCACTCCTCCCTATCTTCCAGCTCTTAACATTCTTTCTTCAGCCTCTCCCCAGAGTTTCCTGAACCTGGAGTGAGAGGTAGGTTGGAAACTTATCTTCATTAAAGTGGTGTTTACATAGGTATATGCATTTGTGAAGTCAATGAAATGTATACCTAAAATGTATATACTTTATTTCATTTAATTATTATTACTTTTTTTTTTTTTTTTTTTAAAGCCAGGGCCTCACATTTTAGCGCTGGCTTGCTTGGAATTCACTATGTAGACCTGCTGGCTTCTAACTCACAGAGATCTGCCAGCCTCTGCCTCCTGTGTATCACATTCAACTCTAATTATTTTTTGAATCTACCTTTGAGCATTTAAAGGAAAAAAGCAATCATAGCTAATTTTCATTTAATAGATAAAGAATTAGTACTTAAGGTATTGGTATAAGAAATGGTAAGACACATTGATATGTGTCCCTAAAGAAACAGTCCCAAACTCTGAATTTTGCTACTTTATTTTAAAGATGATAAATTCTATTACTGGTTAGCTAAAAAGACAACTACTTTATAAACATATCTGATACTGTTATTTGTCCTATTAACTGTAAAAATATTTGCCAGGCCATTTTGACAGCAGCGAACAAAACGCACGTTTAACTTGTAATTTGAAAAGGCCAATAAAATAGATGTGAATATGGTATTTGTTTCCCGGCTGCTTCAGGGTGATAGTGAAACCCTGGTGGACTTCCTAATCATCCCAAAGGAAGACTAATTTGGTTCTCCTTAGCCTGGTATATGGCTGTACCACTTGGAATACCCACACTGGCACTGATTTCTACCATAAACTGCAGAATGGAAGTTCCCTGGATGGATCTCATCTTTTGGGAAGACAGCTGACTACTAACTTCTTCTAGGAACCAACAATGTCTAAATAGTGTGAGTTACTTCCTTATACTAGCTTTTATAGATGCTGTTGTGGGCGTTCATACACATATGCATTACATGTGTATGTGGAGGAGGTCAGAGGACACCTTTATAGCATCCGTTCTTTCTTTTCATCTTTACACGGGTTCTGTGAATTGAACTCAGGTGCCAGGCTTTTAAAGCATAAGCATCTCACCCACTGAGCCATCCTACCAACTGTAGATGCTGTTTTTATGACCAATTACATGCAATGCCAAGATGAAATACTTTACTCAGACAATGAAGGTACAATCCAGCTGTTCAAAAGGTTGGTCAAAAAGTTCCACACTTAAATAAATTATATATTAACTGGTTATAAAATTACCAAAAACTATCATTTCTTATATAGTACTTTGGATCTTATACACTTAGCAAGTCTCAATGAACACAGTTTATCTCCAATTCTGGCTCTACTTTTCCCTCTTAAAAAACAAAACAAAACCTAAACAAAACAAAAGGTATCCATATGGTACAAGGGTCTAGGTATTAAAATCAGTCCTGAGCCTTCTGCTCACAGAACAAATAGAACCTGCTACCAGTTCAGAAGATATTGACAAAAAAACTTCATGTGTTCAGTTTATTAATAGAAAAATCAGATATTCACTTGAATATTCCAGGCATGCACACGGTACACAGACATCCATACAGGCAAAGGAAATGATGCCTGTAAAGTTATTGTCTAACTGTTTTCCTGAAAAGCATTAATCAAAAGGCATTTGTTGTCTTCTTAAAGATTTGTTTTTATTTTTTTATGTGTATGTCTGAGTGTCTACATGTATATACATGCATCACAGGTGTGTCTCATGCCAGAGGAGGATAATAAGAGCGCATCCATCCATTCATCAGATCCCCTGGAGCTTGAGTTACAGACAGTTGTGAGTTGCATTGTGGGTGCCAGAAGCCACACCCAAGACCTCTGCACAAACAGCAAGTGTTTTTAACTGTGCCATCTCACTAGCTCCATTTGCTGTTTTCATTAACAAGTGCTTACTAAAGTTCTTTGACTGAACTGTCTAAAGTAATGGAAGGTTTTTATGAACCTAAGAATTCAAAACAGAGTGGTTTTACACTGCAGTAAAAATTAAAGTTTCTTTAAATTTTATTTATTTATTTGGCTTCTCAAGACAGGGTGTCTGTGTGTAGCTTTGGAGCCTGTCCTGGAACTTGCTTTGTAGAACAGGTTGGCCTCAAACTCACAGTGACTGGCCTGCCTTTTCCCAAATGTTGGGTTTAAAGGAGTGCACCACCACTGCCTGGCTTTTTTTTTTTTTTTTTTTCTTTCTTCAAAGTTTGACTTGATATAATTTTCATGCAGGAAAACTGGTCAGTTTTAGTACACATTCTGAACACTGCATTTAATTATGTAAACATCCCCACAGTCTAGAGATCAGGCACTTCTACATTCTCTTCTAAGTCTTTGCAATCAACTCCTAGCCTTCCTTCACTGCCAAACAACTTTAATAATAACTCTTAATTATTTTTCATTATTTTTTTATTTTATGTGTATGAGTGTTTTGCCTCTATGTATGTCTGTGCATCATATGTATGCCTAGGTGCCCAAGGAAGGCAGAAGAGGGTATCAGATCCCCCAAGACTAGAGTTACAGATGGTGAGGAGCTGTACTGATGTTTACAATTCTACCACTCAAAATTACAATTACCTTTTCCAGGGAGTGCAGTTCTTATACTCCACTGCTAGCCCTTTGTCTCTTCTACAAATGGTACTAGTTTGTACACAGCTGATTTACTTTGCTTTCCTTGAGGCACAGTTCTGTTGCTTCATGAGCACATTAGCACAATGTGGATTACATTAGGGTGGTGAACTAGGGTGATTCAGAGCCTTTTTCAAATAACAATGGTGTAACATATAGTTTCTAGAATGATGAAGCTGTGTCATCTGCTGATGAAATAAGCTAAAAAAAAAAAAAAAAAAAAAATCAAAGCAGGTGATGCTTTTAACTTAAGGTGATGAGAAAGAATAGATCGTTACCTGGCAAGGAATTGCTCCGCCCCATTCTTGCTGGACAATATTGCAAACACCAACTAATGCAGACTCCAAGCAGGTCTTGTCATAATCATCCATGTTACTCAGTGCTTCCTTGTAGAATAAAACATAACAAATGCTTACTGTTCTTTATTGTTATTAGAAAACAAATTATTCAAAGTATATATGCTCCACAGGGTACACTAAGCCTCTGAGAGCCCCAAAGCACAGGTTCTTTAAAGAGAAACAATGAGACAGATTCTTCTCAACTATAAAGAATAATTAAATTAGCTTTCTTTATTCTGTCCTCTTATTAGGTGAAAGTGGGCAGTCCCAAGCCTGTGTTTAAGTGGACTTGGAGGAAAATACTGAAGACAAGAACTAAAACACATCACAAAATGACAACTGTATCAAACATTAACCACATTTTTTGTATGGGGGGGTTTTGGTTTTTTGAGACAAAGTTTTTCTGTGTGCCCCTGGCTGTCCTGGAACTTGCTCTGTAGATCAAGCTGTTCCCGGAGTCAGAGATCCACTTGCCTCTACCTCCCGAGTACTAGGATTAAAGGTGTGCGCCACCACCACCTGGCCATTAATTATAGCTTAAACACCATTTCCAGCACTTATGAACATTTGATCATGATGCCACTGCCTCTTTTAAACAAGGAAATCAAGGTACAGAAAAATTAAGTGACTTTCTCATGATGAGACGTGGCAGAGCCTGCATCTGAATCCAAAAGTCTGACTTCAGGGTCCAGATCTTAATTACAACTTCTCAATTCCATATACAGCAATTCTCTATTTCAGAACTTCTGAATATCAGAATTGTTAAGCTTAATCACTTGTAAGAAGTCAATAAAAGCCAGGCATGGTGGTGCATGCCTGTAATACCAGTACTCAAGAGGCTGAGGAAGATTGAGAATTGGAGGTCTGCCTGAAACAAATTTTCAAATCCCCTCAAAGTAATCTATTACATTTGTAAATAAAACAGAATAAAATAAAATGGGATCTAAAAAAGGAACACCTTAACAAAAATGTTCTCCTTACATATATTCTTAAAATATTCATTTTGTGTGTGTTTGTGTATGTGAATGTGCACCACATACATGCAGGAGCCCTCAGAAGTCAGAAGAGGTGTCAAAGTTCCTGAAACGAGTTAGACAGTTGTGAGCTGCAAGAGCAGTTAAGTGCTATTAAGCACTCTTAACTGCTTAGCTATTTCTCCAGCCTTCTTTCCATACACACGGAATATATATATACATATATATTATTTTTTTTTAAAATTCAAGCTAATTGATCCTTGTTTCCTAACTTGCCTAACTATCATTTAAACTATAATTCTACAAACACAGACTACTCACTGGGGGCAAGGTATTATGGTAAGCATTTCTGGAAATATTAATGATTTAAAGATGTCAGAAAGTAAATTATTTAGCATACAATAGAAAAGCCTTGAAGATAATAGCTACTGGCCAAGGTCTAAAAAGTGTACCTTGGACCTGGCGATGGTGGCACATGCCTTTAATCCTAGCACTCAGGAAGCAGAGGCAGTCAGATCTCTGTTGGTTCAAGGCCAGCCTGGCCTATAGACTGAATTCCAGGACAGCCAGGGCTACACAAAGAAACTCTGTCTCAACTCAAAGGCATTTGTCAGGGAGTAAATTTTTGAATTTTTATAATAATGATTTTTTAAAAAATGAGGATGGACTACTTTTCAGTTCCTTAAGTTTTATGGGAAGGCAGGAAGGTGTGAAGTTTAGACATAAAGATGCTGAATTTTAGTACACAGAGCACTATTGTCAGATTTCAGTAAACCAAGAGAAGAAAATAAAGCATATTTCTATCTCATGGCTCTGCCAGAGGAAAGCTAAGACCTCGTGAATCTTGTTTTCACTTATAGATTGCATCCTTACACACTCATGAAATAATAAAGTTCTAAAGTCAGTCCACAATCACAGTACTATTGCTCTCCCAGTAAATATGGGCTCCGCCAAAATGTACCTACAATTATTGATTTCCTGTGAGTACCTGTAGGGTGTTGTAATCTCTTGTGAAGGGGACCATCAGTTCCCAAAGTGATGAAAAAACCACCAGTGCTGTAAATTCAAGCTTGTAGTTTGTGGCCATGTGTTCAAATAGCATCGTCAAGCCATGGGCAGCCAGGTGCTTCCGCTGGTATTCCTCAGACCCCTCAACAGACACAGGTCGGGTCATGGAAAGGGACACATCCATTACCACCACAGTGGGCATAATGGAACAGAGAGCCAGCTACAAACAGAGAAATGCTGTGGAAACAAATAAGGTCTTGCATATCCTGGGAAGGATATTTTTTTTTCAATGCAATCATCCAATTTCCTAGAAATAAATGGAGGTTAGCCCCTAAAAATTAAAGGAGTAGAGCAAGAAGACTAGTTCAAATCAAAGACATTAAATGCAGCAATACATTAAACTCAGGAAGTCCCTGACTCCACACATTACAGTTTTACACAATTTTTTTCTTTCTTTCTTTCTTTCTTTATATATATATATATATATATATATATATATATATATATATACACACACACACATATATATGTGTATATATATATATATATATTCTTATTTTACATATAGATCCCAGTTCCCTCTCCCTCCCTTCCTCCCATGCCCCCCAACTTCCCAACCTTTCCCATTCCTCCCACAGGGAGGGTGATGCCTTCCAGGAGGGATCATCAAAATCTGTCAAGTAATTTGGAGTAGGGCCTAGGCCCTCCCTTCTGCTTCTAGGCTAAGGGAATATCACTCCATAAGGAATGAGCTCCCAAAGCCTTTTGTACACCAGGGATACATCCTGGTTCCACTGTCAGAGGTCCCTTAGACTTCCCAGGCCTTCTAACCGAGACCCATGTTCAGGGGGTCTGAGTCAGTACAATGCTGGTTTCCCAGCTATCAGTCTGGGGTCCATGAGCTCCCCCTTGTTCAAGTCAGCTGTCTCTGTGGGTTTCTGTAGCTTGGTCTTGACTCCTTTTCTTATCACTCCTCCCTCTCTGCAACTGGATTCCAGGAGTTCGGCTCAGTGTTTAGCTGTGAGTGTCTGTTTCTGTTTCTATCAGCTACTAGATGAGGGCTCTGTGATGGCATTTATCCAAACACCTGAGAGGTAGATTTGTGAGTTCAAGGCCAGTTTGGATTACATAGTGAGTTCCAAAACAGCCAGGGCTATATAGTAAGACTGTGTCTCAAACAATAAAAACTTATAATTACATTGTAAGCCATAGTTGCACATGACTGTAATCCCTGCCTCAGGAGGTGGAGACAGGAAGATCAGAATTCTAAGGTCATTATTAGCTACTAAGGTGTTTGAGCCCAGTCTGAGATATATGAAGAAAATCACATTGTATATATTATACACAATTAGGGAAGACTCAGCAGTTTCAAATTTAGTGTTCACTAATTTAACAGCAGGCTGACTTCCAGTTAGGTACATGCCCAACTATAAATATGTGACATTCTAGAATTCCTTTTGTAAGTAGGGTGCTGGAAAACTCAGCACATACTGGGTCTTGGAAACAATGTTATATGTAAGGGTTAAGGACTCAGAGCAAACAGGAAAAGCCTTTTTATCACATAATGGTCATAGATACATCTCAAATACTGTAACATTTCATGTATCCAATACCAATAAAGTTAATCCAGAGAAAAGAATTACTTTTCCAGACTCTCCTAGGCATCCAAAATGTCAAGACAGTCTGAAAGTATGTTTCTGTGTGAGTGTAAGTAATGTAGGAGCAGGTGCCTGTACAGTCTAGAAGGGGGTGTTGAATTCCCTGGAGCTGGAGTTACAGGTGGTTGTAAGGCAATTAATGTGGGTGCTGAGAACTAAACTCAGGTCCTCCAGAAGTGCTCTTAGCCCATCAATCACTCCAGTCCCTGCTCTCTCTGCCTCATTAAACAATGTGTGTTAAACATATTTGCCCAGCACATCACTGCCTTGCTTTGCAACATACTAGCATTTTTCTAAATCCATACTACAAAACTCTTTTCTGAGAAGAAGCTCCAAGAAAAATGAGTTTAGAACTGTTATCAGTGAGCTAAGGGCTTACTAATGTCTACTCAGAGCTACATTTGGCACATAGTAGGTGCTCAACAAATATCTGACCATAACTAATGAATTACCCCTAATCACAACACATAACATTAATTCCTTGGCAAAATATAATTTTTAGCAAAACACCAGGGATTCCTGCACTTTGTTCAGGTATAGTTTATCCAGCTCTCGTGGTCACATTTATGCATGGAGGCTTTTATGCTTTTTAAAAGTTGAAGATCATGGAGAACACTGCCCTCACCTCTTAAGAGAATGGGAAATGGTTTACTTGGATCAGGTATCAACAAGCACTTCCAGTCCATGAAATCTGATGTTAGCACTGTAATGGGTGACCTTCTCTGAAGACACCTGAGAAGCTGGCTCTTTCTCCTGACTGATAAACTTGTGTCAGGTCCCAAGTGTACGTCCTCAGCTGTGGCCAACTTGTGGCAATCCAATTTTGTACTCTGGTTGTAAGCACGTGATAAACGAAAGAACGGGACGTCCCTGAAGGTTGGTTCTCTCAAATGGTCTGGACCTAGTTAAATATTTTTAAAAAAATTTTATACATACATGTATGTATGTTAAACCTCCCCCCACTAGCGTGGTATTTAGAGACAACACGATGAATTTCCAACTTGGATTGTCTCTCACCTTCAAGTTTTCCCCATCTTTCCAATAGGTAACATTTTACAAAGTTTCGTTTAACTAAGGGTTTTCTCCTGGACAGTCTATTCACGGTGATAACACCCTCGTCACCTGCCTGCTTTAAAAGCTATCAACTATATTTATAGTTCTTCCTTGAAGGGGATAATTAGCCCGTTCACAGTAATTTGATTCTCAGGAGTCTCCCTCCCAAAACGTGATTCCACTTCCCTAAGAGTCCCTCTGAGTTCTTTGAATGAATGGCCCGAAATACAGCATCCTTCATTTGTACTACAACTGGAGAATGGACTTTTATCTTTAAAACGAGCACCAAACAAGTGTTGGGGAAAGTGGAGACGGAACTCTCAGGGGCCAGGGACGGAAGTCTGTCAGGGAAGAGGGAACACGGCAGGCCTGGCCGGGCGCTGAGGACCCGGGCCACACAAGGGAGGCCGGGAGCAGGCCCTGGAGCCTCGCCCAGAGACCGGCCACCCCGCGTAGGCCGCAGCGAAGGCCCGTCGCCCGCCCGCTGCTGTTTCTCCTTCACCCGTCTCCCTTAACCACAACCAACAACGAAACACAACCCTCAACAAGCTGCTTACCCGGAGCTCATCCCCAGCCTCGGTCCGTCCGCTTAAACCTTCCGCCCGCGCGCCGGAACTTAAGGGCGGGGCTTCCAGACCGCGGGAGCCGGGGCTGTAGCACGGCCCGGACGCTAAGGGGCGCGCCTTCCCCGCCCCTTGTCCACAGAACCCAATTCCCGCTGAGGCGGAGCCTTGCAGGTTCCTGGCCCATCCCTCTTCTTACCCCATTCACTGCGTGCTCCCCCTATTTACCCCCACCTCGCTTTCTCTGTATACATCCCTCCACCCCCAGCCAGTCTCTGACACTTTCTGTCTAGACTTTCTCTTCAAAATTCTCAAGCGCCTCCCCTGCACAGTAGACAGAATGCTCTTCCTACTCTTAAAAACTGCAATTCCCGGCTGAGAGCTCAGCCTGTAAGCACCTGGTTGATAAGAGCTGTGACACAGGCTTTGAAAGGTTGAGTGGTTTGGTCATAGAAAGGGGAAGTCACATACTGAGCTGCTCTCAGGACTAGGTTTTAGGGCTCACTGGGAGTTCTAGATAACCAGTTTTCCAGAGGTACTTGTGGAAATGTAGTCTTCTGTACCCTGTGAACTGAATTGGAATTTCATGGTTTGTTCACTACGTTCTCAAGATGAGTTTTTCTTCTACAAAGAGAAGGATAAGTACTAAGTACAGAAAAAGTGAAAAGAAAGGGAGAGGGCCCATTTCTCTTTTCCATTCTTCCCTAGTCTCTCACACATCGGTGCTAGCCCATATCCTTTATCTTCCTTCCAAGTGCCTCTAGCCTGGCCCCAACCCACTTTTATTTTCCAGTAAAAAATAGTATTTTATTCCTCCCCCTCCAACCTACCCCCAGCAACCCCAGTACACTTTCCCCCTCTTATTCCCGCGGCAATGCTACAATCAGAAAAAATTAAGTTTCGGGGGGCAGGAATAGGAGGAGGGAGGGATATGGGTAAAAACAGTCAAATCACAATAGGAATTTCCCTGAATAGGTTAATTCCCCTTAGTCATCCTCTGCGCCCTCATCTTCAGGCTCTCGTTTTCGCTTCTGACTCCTTTCCTCTTCACCAGAATTTTCATCTTCCTCATCATCCACTTCTCCATCATTATAACCTTCTTTATCCTCCTCTTCTCCACTCACGTCCTCTTCCTCCCCTTCTTCCTCCTCATCCTCTTCCAGTAGCTGAGCATATTCATCATTCCTCATCATCCTCATCTTCCTCGTCGTCATCCTTCACGTAGCCTTCAACATTGGAGTCAGGAGCCTCCTTGTCCCTGTAGTAGCCATCGAGGTACGTGACCTGGGGCAGGAGCTTGAACACATTTTCTCTGTAGTTATTCAGGTTGGTCACCTCGCAGTTAAACAGGTCTAGGCTTTTGAGATTCTCTAACTTCTTCAGTGGCTCTATTGTGCTGAGGTCTTTTATTTTGTTGCCACTTAAATTTAGATGCTTAAGGTTCGAACATTTTTCTGCCAATACTTCCAGGTCCCCTGAGATTCTGTTATCGCTTAGTTCAAGCTTCTTGAGTTTCTCAATGAAGGTGAGGCCTATGTTGATTGTACTTAAGAATTCTTCAAAATTATCTGTGAGGCCTTTGATTTTGCCTTCAATTGACCGACAGTTGTCCAGGAAGAGTTCTTTCACATCAGAGGGCATCCTGTTCCGCAGCTCTAAATGAATCCATTTGTTCATATCCATCTCTTACGCTCTCGTTCTCTCGCTCTCTGCAGAGGATTCTGCACCAGTGGAATTCAATCAATAAACCCCGAACCCAGGGCTGCGCGTTTTAGGACTTTGAAGGCTCAACCAGCTCCGCTCGGTTTTCTCCCAACCCACTCTTTAAAAACAAACCTGAACTAAACTATTTAAGAAATTTTCTGGAGGCGGAGATGTAGCTCAAGTGGTAGAGTGCTTGCTTAGTCTGCACAGGAGTCCTGCACAAACTCTTCTGCAATCCCAGCACTCAAGAAACAAAGGCAAGGTGATCAGAAATTCAACTACATATGGACTTCTTTTAGTTTACATGAAAACTCATCTTTAAAAAAATCCGGCATGGTGTTACATACATCTTTAATCTCAGCGCTTGGGGGGCAGAACACACGGATCTCTGGTTTCCAGGACAGCCTAGTCTACACGTTGAGTTCAGGCTAGCCAGGGATACATAGTGAGACTCTCCCCCCAAAAAAGAAAAAGATGAGAGACACACATAAAGATGGAGGAATAGCATAACAAGCCCCCCCCCACCCAGTTTTTACTGTTAGCTTAATCTTCAGTCTCATTTACATCTCAACCTACCTCTTTCCGACATAATACTTTGGTAGAGATTCCAGATATATCATTTAGTTCAGAAACATTTTGGTATCTATCTCTAAAACATAAGAACTTTGTTTCTTATTCTCTCTCTCTCTCTCTCTCTCTCTCTCTCTCTCTCTCTCTCTCTCTCTGTGTGTGTGGTGTGCATGTTTTTATGAGTGTATGTGGAGTTGAGGCCCACAGACGAAGTCAGGAATCTTCCTCAGTTGCTCTCCACTTTATTTATTTATTGTTTTTTGAGGCATAATCTCTCAGTCAAGCACAGAGCTCATCTTTTGCCTAGTCTGCTGAGGCAGCTTGTTCAGGGGGATCCCATCTTGATCTTACAGAGGAGAGGAGGCTGCAGAGGCCAACAGAGGGCGTCAGATCCCGTGGGACTGGCATTACAGATGGTTGTGAGCAACATGTGGATGTTGAGAACCAATGACTGTCCTCTGGAAGACCAACCAGTGTACTTAACCACTGAACCACCTCTCCAGATCCCCCAAAATAAGAACTTAAAAAAAAAAAAAGCACAAGTATACTACTGCTATCAAATTAAAAATAACAATATATCTCTAATATCCTTAAGCCAGCTTTCAAATATTCAGTAATCTCATTCATTTCATTTTTTTAAAATGTTTTGTTTCTTTGGACCATGATCTGATTAATACTAAGCACTGAAATCTCTGTGCGTGTACATGTTTGTGTGTGAGTGCACATATAGGTGGAGGTCAGAGGTTGACTTAGGATATTTCCCTCAGTTGCCCTCCATGTAGTTATTTTGAGATGGTGTCACTCACTGAACCTAGAGCTCACTGGTTGGCAAGACTGGCTGATTAATGAGTTCCCAGAATACATTTACCTGTTGCTGTCTCTCCAGTTTTGGAGTTACAGACTTGAATTATCATTGTGTTTTTATATGGGTGCTGGGGGGTCCAAATCTGGGTCCTCACATTTGTGCAGCAAGCACTTATCTACCCAACCCCCAAACATTGAAATTGTTGCTATGCCTCCGGAGACTCTAAATTCTAGGTTTCCCCTGTGTCTCTTTTCCTGTACAACGTGCTTAACGAAGAAACTGTGGCCTCTTTCTTTTAATTGCTCTCAAATCCTCTTTCAGTCTTTTTCAGAGCATTTGAGAAAGTGACAAAGCTTCTCTCTATTCCAAAGTCATAGAAAGACTCACCGAACAAAGAAAAGCTTTTATACGTTTTTCAGTTCCAATGAACTTCTCTGCTTTGCAAACAGGAGCTTGCCTTATCCACCACTGGATGATGGCTCCATCCCCTCCCCCAGTTTCATGTGATGCTGGATACGGAAAGAAAACAGGCAGGAAGTAGAGGGATCTCTGAGAGGTAAAGTCAAAGGGAAAAGCAGAGAAAATCAGTGGATACCACATTTCTATAAGAAAAAGAACTGAATTTCTTTCCTCAGGACACTCTTTTTTGAAAAATCTTAAAGCCTACATTTTTTTGAACTTTTTTGTTTGTTTTTATTATTTTTTCTTATTTTACATATCATTCCCAGTTCCCTCTCCCTCCCATCCTCCTATGCTCCCCATCCCATTCTCTACCCACTCTCCCAGGAAGGGAGGGACCATCAAAATTTGTCAAGTCATTTGGAGTAGGGCCTAGGCTCTCTCTGGTGTCACTAGGCTAAGGGAGTATCCTTCCATAGGGAATGTGTTCAGGGGTTCTGGGTCAGTTCTATGCTGGTTTCTCAGCTATCAGTCTGGGGTCCATGAGCTCCCCCTTGTTCAGGTCAGCTGTCTCTGTGGATTTCTGCAGCCTGGTCTTGACCCCTTTGGAAATTTGGAGCCCTTCTGGCCTTCTCCAGCACTAACACACTTCAGGAGCCCATTCCCCGTGGAGGGATACTCCTTTAGCTTAAAGACACAGGGGAGGGCCTAGGCTCTGC